CACTCGCCTATTTGTAAACTTTCTAGTCTGAATAACTCTAAAGGATCATTTTCTGTACTTTTTACCACGCCGCCAATGCATGTTCACTATCTGCTCGACAGTGTTTTTAATGGGAACCCACAAAGATATAGACCGGGAAGGACAATCAGCAATCTACCAGACCCTGGGGAAAATCGTATCCATGGCACATCCCTAAGAAGTCGAAGAAAAAACCAGCCACATATATACTTATCACTTTATCAAGTACAAGAGAAACACAATAAATTCTTCAATCGAATTGAGAAGAGACCTGAGCAAGGATGATTCTTTTGGAATAATGTATAACATAACAACAAGCAACGACTGATTCGAACAGTTTCTAGCAAAAACATTAGATTTTACAGAAAAAAAATGGAATGAATTCACATAGTAATTTTCACCCAGAGAGAACCTTAGGCACTTTCTCAAAGAGCCTATGGCGACACTGAGATCTCCAAAGCGGTCTGACGGCACTCGTCGTCCGTTCTCTTACGTCGTTTAATCAGTGTATTCAATTCTTTACTAAACATTAACATCTTTTCGTGTAACGATGATGCCTCACAGAAGAGATCCTCTTGTTTCGGAGGCTTCGCTGCATCTGAAAAAGCGAAAGAGGAAGCATTCAGCGGACTCAAAGATCCCTTAGGATATTTCTAATAGTCAAAAGTGGCTCATCCTCAGCTTACCTGTTTCATCCTCACATTTGTTCCCTTCTACTTCCTGTACTGTGCCGGAGTTTGTGCTCTCTGAAAAGAAAAAACACTGATTCGATCAGTTCAAGTTAACACGTGCTGTCCCTACCCCTTCTGCAGGTCTTCATTTGCTTCCTCTAGGCTTTGCTTAAACCAGTGTGGATATGAGATATGTGGATGGATTTTATCGGGAAGAACAGAATGGGTATGAAAAATAGATGACTAGGGAAATAGGTATGTATCAAGAATGATTGACGGAAGTAGAAAAAAAAGGAGGAGAGAGAAAGATACACAAACAACCACGTTGTACGGACAGTTAAAAAACTAAGGGGCGTGACTAAAATTGCGAACTGGCAAGGAAAGGGGCGTGGCTAAAATTGCGAATTGGCAAGGAACGACTTAACCATGACCATTGGATTTCATAAATTTTGTGAACTGAAGCAAACAAGTACCAGACGGAAAACAAACGACGACAAAAGTCCAACGGAAAAGACCATGGTCCGTCAGCAGAAATACTGTGCTGAAGGAAAAAGGAAGGGAAAAAGGACTACCAACTATAAGAAGGAAAAAACCTTCTTTAATCAATTGAATAACCTCCCTTCCTGATTCATTCTAGCTACATAGTTTCCAAGTTTCCACGCGATGTGTGGCAGAATTGGCTGCACGGCTAGTCCACCACGTAGCTTCGGCTATGCGAGAGATCACATAGTTAATGCGATTAGAAAAACATGAGAGCCAATATCCGGAGAGAGAATCAAACAGTTTCCTATCAGGATATCCATTCCTTCACAGTCACTTGTTGGTTATTGCATCAGACCACTTTCAAACTCTTTTCCATCTTGCTCATAACATGGTCAACAGTGAGCTTTTCAGCTATATGTAGTTTCAAAAGCCTTTTCTCCTCAGGAACGTATCCTACCATGAACAGAGGAAATAACCATAACTTGCTTAGCATCGCCAGGGACCCATGCTTGAGATCAAAAAGTCGAGTGATATCTAGTCCTTTTGGAAACCCAGAAATCTCACTTGCTCAACGGGATACCCGGGTCTCCAGTGAGCTACACTACTTTTCACGGAGACCACGTCTTAGCTCAGATTTTAGAGTAATAATAGTAGCGAATCCCATTGCTTTATAGAAGCTTTGATGTCTCATAGGTGAAAGTAACCAATAGATCGACTAGGATAGTCCCAATGAGTAATGGAGGCATCCGTAAACAACCACAATTTCCAGTGATGGACAGGTGGAACGACCTGTTACCGGCTGAAAATCTGCGAATTCTAGGCAAGTACCGTATTCGCTGGGGAAAGAAACCGTCAAGTTACCCGAGAAAGAACATCTAGCTGAAATATCAACCCATCGTGATGTTTGGTCGTGATTTCAACCTGTGTGAGGCCCCCACTTAACACATCAGCATTTAGTTAATAAGTGTTAGCCGATCACCTGATAGTGAGGAAGCGAGGAAGTCTGCGGAATAAGATGAAGAGAAGCTTGGTCGTTGTAACGTAACCAGACCAGTGCGGCAGTAAGGAAGTTAGAGGCAAATGATCGACTTCGGCCAATCCTCGTGAAGCTTGCTACAGACGCGAACTTTCCTCCATTATTCGAATTTTTGACTTCTGAAACTCCTCTCTTCCTTTTCCTCAGCCTTCTCATGGATCGAAATTTTGTTCACCACTAAGATCCGAATTTCAGGCGCCAGCCTTGATACCCCATATGTACCTATGTACCGCAAAATGGTTAACGAGGAAAGAAGCTCAATGGCAAAATGTTCTCCACTAGTTCTAGAACCCCTAGAACCCGAAGTAAAAGCGAAGCCTTCTGAAGCAAGTCAACGATTGACGGGACATAATCGAACAAAGGACAAAATCGAAGGAGAAAGTGACGAGACATGTCCGTTGATTCGATCTCATGACCCGTACGGATCACAAAACGGTACATTTTTTCAGCCAGAAGAACTCGTCAACAAATAAGCAAACTCACGGAAATGCAACGAGCTATACTCATTAAAACATTCGCTAAGCTGGAAAACAATCCGGTGAAGAATGCTCTCAAAATTCTCCTCAAGTACGGAACTTCTTTTTCTGTATTCCCCTTCGTTATCTCTTTCAACTCCAATTCCAGACTTTTTGCCGAACATCCAAACTACAAACAAGTATGGCCACAATTTCGAGCTATACCAGACTCTTCCCTGATGAACGCTATCGAGCTCAGGTAAACAGCCATCGGAGATCCTTCCTACATCTTCGGCTCAACAGCTAAAGCTGCAAACTCCGAAATATTTGCTAAATTAGGGATGCTTTCAAAAGATTATCACCCTACTGTTCGCTATCCGATTAGGTCATACTTCGATGACATAAAAAAAATGGCATTTACCTCCAGAAAAACAGTCCTAGGAAAATGCGTAACTGAGAGAAACCTGCAATGTTCATGTCAATAAAAACAGTCCATTTAATCTCATTCTCACTAAAACACTAACAATGCTTCGACGATTTCAGAAGACATGCTTCGGTCTACATGTGTGGTTTGGGCGCAATTATTCATTCGATGAATCGAGAAAAGGACCTCGCCATTCAGATGAACAGAATCGCCAAGGCACACATCAAATGGAAAGTGCATCGAGCTCATGTTGTGGTCAGTACTGAAAAGGATTGCCTAGGCTTTTTAAATGATTCAAGAGTTGCTTCTCAAGAACTGGGAGGATGAAAGTGGTTTTGTGCCAAGCTGGTCAGGAAATCAAATCCCGGATCAATACCTCTTGACTAAATCGAGTATCATCCCCGAATGATTCATTCATGCATTTACGTTTAGCTTCGAAGGTAGAGATGGCAATGTTATGTTACTTTTTCTTCGTCTGGGCAACCTGTTACGACCATAAGATTTCAGCAAATTCAAAACGACGCTATCGTATTGAAGCCTCATGTCGAAGGAACTCATTTGAAGCATTGACTACTTTTTCCGACTAGAAGGGCTCTCGAGTAGGTAGCAAGGAAGTGATCTAGGAATAGGTACACAACAGAGCCTTGTAATCCCGAATCGCATCACTGGTCTTCCTATTAGAGGTGCCCCCTATCCCTTCTTCAGTGCTTTCCAGTCCGCAGAACAACAAAAGCATGATTCACTTCCCGAATCCATGACATCACTGGGCAAGTGGCTTTAGTGGCCCAACCTGTCCCGTGGGATCGCGGTGCGCAGCTTTATGACCAACCGTTCCAAAGGTGTGACTCTTGGAAAACATCAACTTATAGCAAATAAAGTATTTGCTACTGTGAACTATCGAGAAAATTCTTTTTGCAGCACATGCTGGAACCAGTACTAGAGGTGGTGAAGGAATGCAACAAAGATTTCGATGAAGAAGCCAAGCAAGCATGGACTACGCTGTACTACATAATCGCTGAACTCATCGAAATTTATCGGCATAAGAAATAGATCTCCACAGGACATCAGACATTTTGCATTAACACTGAGGAGCTGATGTTATGTATCCACTCCTTAAATTTTACTCTAAATCAAGTATGTTGTATCAATGTGAATAATAATAAAGTCTTTGAAGGTACGTCTCTCCCACTGCCGCCCACATCCATTGAGTACTTCAGTACATATAGACAGGACCTATTTTGAAATATTTCCTTCTTCCAAAATCTCATCATCACAATCAAAATCCCATTTCACTGCAAAGGATCTTGCCAGACCAGGGAATTCCGGAGAAACGAAACATCAGTCCATCA